TGTTTGATTGATTGATTGTTTGTTTGGGAGAGGTTGTATTTGGGGTTTGAATGACCTTCCAGAAGCCCCAATGGCCCACACTCAAGGTCAAAGCATATAATTGATCTTGTGTATCAGGAAGCTTTTTTTTTAAACTCAATTATTCAATATGCTAAAGAAAGACAGCCAGAGGAACTTAGAGCCAAAAATAAAGCCAAAGAGCTTAGGAACTGTTTGCTCTTCTCCTGCTAATGAGGACCTGGAGACTCGAATAGTCCCTCTAAATTCCTTAACATTGGAACAAGTCTCTGCTTACACTACTGGTCACAGTGCTGTGCACCTGCTCCTCTTTTTCTCATCCTTTCCCTATTTCTTCTTCCTGTTGTTAGACATCACCTCCTCAGAGGTCTTTAGCACCCCCTTCAGATACTCCAGGATCACAACAACCAACCACTGAGCCTTTTAGATCTCCCTGTACACAATTCCCAGCAACCCTGTTCATTAAAACAAAGTGAGATCATTGTAAAAGAATTGCCAGAAGATTCATCTTGCCAATAAGGACCGAATTCTTCTAATGCAGTAAACTGTTTCTCTAGTAGAAATTTTCAACAGAAAATAAAATTTTCAGAATTTGCTAAAGAATCCTTTTAAAGTTACTTCTTAATAATTTGCTTTAATATTTTGAAGAAAACAAAACCCAGAAGAGGATAAGGTACACATTATTTTTAAGATAATGTCTCCTGGCTTGGAGCACAACTATCGAGCCTGTGCTCTAGAGCCCACGAGCCACAACTACTGAAGCCTGCACGCTCTAGGGCCTGTGCTCCGCAACAAGAGAAGCCACCACAATGAGAAGCACGCGCACCGCAACGAAGAGTAGCCTCCACTCGCCGCAACTAGAGAAAGCCTGTGCATAGCAGTGAAGACCCAATGCAGCCAAAACTAAATAAAATAAATTTATTTTTTAAAAAAAGAAAAAACGTCTCCTGAATGCAAAAAACAATCAGTCCTCTTGGAAAACTTGATGAAATGCAATTTATTCTCATCAATGCCACATTATTTTCGATTAGATATACAGTTTATTTACTATCTGAGAAATGCTTTTTAGTATACTAAAACCTAATGAATTTGAACAGTGCTTTGAGTCACTTCAGCAGAATTTGGCGCTTTTCTGGTGGCTCATTCATTTCCTAATCAGTGGAAGAAGGAAAGCATGGATTCAATCAGTGGAACTAGTAAGCCCAGAGGTAGAATGAGCAGTGAGCACTTACATTCTCCATGGAAAAACGCTCTTACGAAAAAAAAATCTAGGAAATTCTCCTTCTCTTTACCTTTTGTTAATTGCAAAATAAACATATTTCCAAGAGTAAGGAGTTGCTGAGAGTTGGTTTTATCTAGAGCTCCCCCAATAGGCACTGGACCACCATCCCTCTGCCAGCGTCCACATTGCCTGGGAGATGAGTTGAGGGTATACAGCCTTCATCTCCGCAGCAGTCTCTTTGAATTTCCCTTTGAGGCTCTGCTCCTTTTCTCCCTCAGTCTCTCCAGTTATAAGCTTTGGTTTGAGCTGTAGCAAAGCACTATCTTGCTAGAGGTTATAAAGGAAACCAGAGAAAAATTACAATCTCCATAAAACAACCCGCGCTTGCACTGAGTTTCCTCCAGAAGAGACTGCACACATGCTTATCATGGTGAGAGACTGTCCAACGTCAGTAAACTCAAAGACTTCTCCCGGCAGGAACAACTTGGAAGGAACACTCCAAAAAGCCATCATGCTCCAATGGAAAGAATTTAGTTCTGGCCCAGAGAAACCTGGCATGTGCCGCCAATCAGCTGTCTGATCTTGGGCAGGTTACCTGACCTCTCTGAGCTTTGGTTTCATCGTCTGCAAAATGGTGACGGTAAAATGGCAATTACAATGCCTGTGAGCATGGTTGACACAGAATTACAAAGAATTAATATAAAGGGTCCTGCTTATAGTAAGAAATCCATAAATGGTAGCAATATTTATATCTTACTTCCCAAACACAGTGCCTTGCACAAAACTATAGTTCATAAATATTCGTGGAAGTGAGGGAAGGAGAAAAAGAGAATGGCAGAGGAGAAGACGGGAAGAGGGAAGAGAGAGATTTGAAAAAGATTCAAGTTTATCAGTGACAGATATTTCCCCCTTTTCATTAATAATGTTTCTGATTGTAATAAATACTTACTGTAGAAGTTGTCTTAGCCAGCACCACAGATCCTGCGGATTAGAGCCCTCCAGTTGCTTTTGCAGCTTTTCCGCCTGTTACGGCAACTACGTTCACCTTGCCTCTGACAGCTACATGGTACCACCAGGTCTCTGCTATTCCAGACCCCTCTCACCTCTGCTGATACCAGGAAGCCCGGTCCATGGCAGTTCCTCCTGCCATCAACCCAGTCGACAAAGGACAGCCACTATTGAGCTTTTCTGTGATGCAGAAGTCCTTCACCTGTGCATTCCTCATGGCTTTAGAGAGGGGAATATCCAATGAACTCTCCAGGTGAAGATAGCAGGCCCCCTTCTCTGAGCCTTTAGTCCTCAAATACTCTGCCAGGACAGTCTGGCGTCTTCTCTTCGTTCATGTAAGCCACCAATTCCTCCAAGCTTTAGGGAGCCATCCCAACAGCAAACTGGAACGAGATCCAGCTTCCCTTATGAAGATGCTAAATCCTGAGTCATGAGAGGATGCCCCAATAAACTCTTCTTATCTGGGCTTATATTCTGCCACCCTCCCCCTCATCCCATCTGACACCCTTAAGATCCGTTCCCAAGCGCATTCCCCGGATCCATGTCTGCATTAGTCAAGTCCTGAGTTTCCTTCAATGGAAAATCTCATTCCTCCAACCACAGGGAAAGTCATTCCCCAGCCGGGTCATCCTGAGACTTGACCCTAACTATCCATGTAGAATAAATGAGGGGTTGCAGATGGTACTTGAGGAGGGCAAGTTATCATCATGTAAAGCAGCCTCCTCAGATGGGGCCTCAGCCTGGTCTCCAGGCACTGGAGGCTGGCCTCCTCTAGGAAGAAGGAGCCGGCCCCTTCAGCAAGGGAACCTCAAGCTCATCTAGGGGTTGTCCCCATTGCAGGTCCCTGTGTCCCGCTCCCTCCCTATGAGGACGTTAAGTATAGGAGACTGCCAGGGTGATGGATTCAGCCTTTTTGATGATTCACCTGCTCTTCCAATTAGGTCTGAGGCCTGAATTTCAGCACAGTCTGCCCTCCAGCTTCAGGAGAAGAGACTCTTGAAGCGAGGCTTTCATTTGAAGCCTCATTGCCCTTTCACTCAGGGCAATCAAAGCCCTGAGTGCTTTGATTGCACTCAACAACCAATTAATCCACAGTCCTGATAATTACCATTGTTCCCACATCTCTCAAATGTTGTCAATATTGTATTAGCCAGCACATACCTTTCCACGTGTATCCCATCCCAATTCATCACAGAGGAGTCTTACTGAGTAACTGTGATGCTGCAGGATTTATGGCTCTCGTGGCCAACACGACTGCCTATGGCATTCCCGCTAAGCTTCCCATAAGATACCTGTGGGTGATTTTATCCATTGGCCCCCTTAGATCCACTCTTCTCCTACCTGCTTCCCAGGCTGCCAACATTTATGAGCTGAACCAATGGGCTCCCTCACTCTCTGCCTTCCCATTTGCTTCGGCAGAAGATCAGGGCGTGGGAGCAGAGTGAGGCTGAAGTATTTGCTCACCTCCCTCCTTCCCAGGCCTCACATTGGTAATGGCTGCATCCTCCTACGAAAAGCCACAGCCCCTGTCAGGCATTCCTCTCCTACAGTTGTCTTTGGGGCCTGATCGTCACTTCTTCCTGGTCCTTCGGCCTAGGTTACCCATTGCTTCAAACAAGTGTTTAGGAGTGTTTCACCACCCCCTTGTGGGTTTCCTCAACTCCGTCTTCACATTTGCAAATAGTCTCTTCATTGAATTCTCCTCAATATGCAACCGCAGTATATCATTTGTTTCCCACCAGGAACCTTAAGGATGCTATAGTCATCTTTTCTCAAATTCTGGCAAGCCCTTCCTGCTTCTGCTTTTTCCCCTAAGTTTCTTTAAGAAGCAGCTTTTTCTCCCAGAAACTCCTGAGGGAAGTCCTTAGGGGTGGGTTGAAAACACCTGAGTGGTGCCCTCCAGTATTATCTTTAATCCCCGTTCTCCACCCCAGCAGAGAGCCTAAGGCACTCAAGTACTTTTCATGTTAGAGCGGCTCTCTTGCCTGCCAACAGATCTGCACTGAAGGTTGGGATGGATTTTGCTCTTGTCCTTTGTTCCTGGTCGTCCACCTCAGCATCCCAGTCCTGGACCATCAATCCTAACATTTGCTTTACTGTTTTCATGGGGACTCACTGATTCCTCATTCAAGGAGGACCCCTGGTTCCTAGTGACGAAATGCCAGGGATGTGAATACAGATTGAGCCACCTTTGGGACTCATGGTACCCAGTCATCTGTCGGTGTCCCTTACTAAATATGACATCCTAAATTAATGTGCAAGTAGAAATAACCTCGCAGTTCATTTTAAGCGTGCTTGTTGTTGTTATTCCAAGGGTCTTAAAGATGAAAAAGACTTTTTTGAAAGTTTTCATGAATTCAAAAGACAGAGGACATGCTTTATTGGCATTAATACAGATTTTCCTGGCATAATGTGAAAAAGGAACAAGGTTCATTTCAACCCCAAAAATGTCAGAATTAAAGACACCTGTGTAACATTAGAGTTTTTTTTTTAAAGTCACAGAGAATCAGCTGCTGTAAGATTTTAGCAAGGGCAAGAGCTAGACAATCACAGACTTTTTCCTCTGAGTCAGCAGTACACTTTTACCCCTACAAACATGTAAAACTTTTGAGTTTAAAAAATTCCAGTTTAAATTTAAAATATGCCCAGTTGGAAAGAATAATTGTGATTGATCATTTGGGGCATGGCTTTGGGAGAGCATCACATGAGTCTAAAAACATGAGTTTAGTTTCGTGAGGTTTTTTTTTTTTTAAGTGTATATGATAGCTCTGATTACATATTTTTTTCTGAGTTTTTTTATTCACAAAGGGTTCTCTTTATAAGGATCTTAAAGGGACCTTCGGAATTTTGCTTGGGAAAAGAATCACCCAAATCCAGACACCTTTCCGTTTGAGCCTCTATCATCCTCCCTTTTTTAATCTGAGCAGTCTCTATTTCTTGTGTCGGTAATTGCTCAGTTAAAAGGAAAAGAAAGTATTTTCTCTAAGGGAGCTTGCACCTGGATTTTCTTGGAGGCCATAAGGACTAAAACATTGGTTTTATTAATTTCTGGCGCTTTAATCATAAATCCAGCTGGAGACCCGTCATTACCTAAGACATGAGAATTTAAAGTCTTTCTAGGCCCGTTTCCTAATTATGCCCAACGCATTTAAAACATTGGCTTATTAAAAATCCAAATTGGAGGAGGGTTGTGATATATGAATTATGTTCTGAGATTCAAGGTAAAGAAAAATTAATTTGCAGTGTGTGGACCAGAGAAATTATCTTAGCGAAGGCACAAACGTTGTTTTGCATTTTTAGCATAAGTATGCTGCCTCGGCCTGGCGCCTGAGGGTGGGTCAGGGAGACAGGTAACCTCCTCCACAAGTAGGGTCGAAATTAAACAGTCCTTGAGCGCAGGGGGTATAGCTGCTTGTGCTGCCCGTGCAGGTGGGTCCGTGAGGCCGCAGGCCGCCAGCTGTGTTCTGAGGGTCGCCCAGCTTCAGATGGTCTCACACTCCGTGGTGGCAGTGGAGCAGGCCCCACAGTCACAGCGGACAGCCACGGGGTAGGTGTAGAAGGGGTCGACTCCCGGGGCACAGTTGGGCAGCTTGACCGTCACCTGTTTTGTCTCATTGTAGGTACAGACTCGATGATGGGCTTCAATGTAGGGGGGTTCCAGAATGGGCTTCTGTCCCCACAGGTAGAAAACAGAAAACCCATTAGAACATAGCATCGTGTTTCATTTTCTTGACCATTTACCACTATCAGAGACTAGCTTGTTATTCGTTTCTTTACTTGTTAATATGTTTCCTCCCAGTAGAAAGCAAATTCCTGAAAGCAGGAAGGTGGTTTTGTTCACTCACGTATCCCGAACTGCCAGAAGAGCCCATGGCACAGAGTAGGTACTAAATAAATACTTAGCAAATGAATAGTCTTGATCATTGCAAAAGCCTTCTGACTGGTCCCCTCACTTCTTCTTTTACCCCCTATAGTCTATTTATGACAGGGCAGCCCCAAGAGATCCTTTTAAAATGTAAGATCCTATCTCCCCTCTGCTCAAAGCCGCTGTGATTTCCTATCTCATTGGGAGCAAAAGTCAAAGATCTTACACTCACCCTCAAGACCCTACATCATCTTCCCTGCACCTTCACCTCTGACATGTCCCCAGTGACCCCGTCTTGCTGGCTTCCTCACTCTGCTCGAGCCGCAACAGTCTCCTGCTTTTTCCCCAAATCCACCAGGAACAGTGCCACCCCAGGACCTTTGCCCTTGCTAGTCCCTCTGCCTGGAACGCTCTTCTCCCTTGTGATTCACTCCTTCTTCGACCTTAGGTTTTTGTTCGAACGTCACCCTCCCAGGAAAGCCTTTTCTGACCGTCCTATTTAAAGTTGCCAAGTTTCCCCTCCCACGCTGCCACTTCCTCTCCCTCTTCCTGCTTTATCTTTCTCCGTAGCACTTGTCAACACCCTGTGACATATTATGCGTTTTATTTAGTTGTGTTGTATTTTTCCCACTCTAGAAAGAAAACTGCATTAAGACAAGGATTTTTGCCCGTTTTACTCACTGCTGTGCCTCTACTCCCTAGAGATACCTGGCACCCTGGAGGTTCTCAACAACTATTCGTTGAATCAGTGAAAGAAAACAGAGCAAGGCAGGTTCCTGAATGCCCTGTGCGCTGGTTCTGATAACCGAGGGATTCCCTTCCTTCCTTCACCTTTTAGAAATCGTGCATCCAAAGTTCATTTTGATACACAGAGCATACAGATCAGGAAACCAGCACAAAGTAGTAGTTAAAATCTCAAACCCTGCAGTCAGAGCCACTGAGCTTGAATCCCTGTTCTGCCACTTGCTGGAGACCTTGGAAAATCCACTTAACTTCTTGAAGCCTCAGATTCCTCAACTGTAAAACAAAATACCTACCTCCCAGCCTTGTTGTGGAGATAAGGTAAGATGGTGTATGTAATACCTGCCGAGCACCAAGTAAGTGTTCAGTAAATGTAATCTATTGTTCTTATCAGAGCAATTATAAGAGTAAGGAAGTATTCAATAAGAATAACAACGAACAAGCTTTCGGAGGACAACAGCTACACTTGTCCTGGGCAAATGAAATATGTTTAATGGAGGCCCAGGATGAAGTTCTTACATGCATCTCATGGAAATAATGGCTTTGCCTCTGTCAAGGACCATGTAGAAGAGTTGAACTCAATATGCACTTCTTCCTCCTATTTCTCAGGTAACATTTTACCCTTTCTCAGTTCGCTTCATGTCCTCTTACCCTCAGTAATCTGGAATCCCAGGCAGCATTGCCAGATAAAATACAGGATGCCCAGTAAAATTTGAATATCAAATAAACAACTATTTTTTTTAGAATAAGTATGTCCCAAATATTGCATGGGACAGACTTATATCAAAAAGAAAATAACAGTTGTTTATGTGACATTCAAATTTAAGTGGCCTCCTGGCTCGGTTTGGTTGGGCTTTTTGCTAACTCTGGTAACCCTAAACCCAGACCAGGAACAAAGGCTATTTTCAGCAATAGTTCCACCTTCAAAGTAAATCCAGCCACTTTGTCGTCATGAACACCCTTATTTTCAGACAGGCTTCCCAGTTAAATTACCAAAAATCAGTGCTTTGTATCTCAGAAACTTTCAGATTGTGGGGAAACTAAATCTCATTCTTTTATTTATTTTCTAGATGTAACCTCCCTTTTCAGAGCACAGTAAAGGCATAAATAAAAGCTTGCTGACATTAAGGAGAATCTCGCTCTTTCACAGTCTCAGTGCTTCCATTTCTCCAGTGACAGCAGAGTCCCTAACCTCCTGCGGGTGACCATTACCCAATTAAAGCCGTTCACTGATTTATAAGGTCAAGAGAAGATGGGGTGAATTAAGCGGAAATGGTAACTTGAGATTTTGGCCCACAGAGAGCTCCCAATAGCCTGACACAGCTGTGAGCAGGGGAAGGCACTGCCAGACCACGCCCTGAATACAAGAAAGTTTCCCGCATAAGTCTGATGTCATGTGACAGCCACAGTATCTGCAACAACCGAATTTTCATCTCACTGTTAGGTCTCAAGCCCCCAAATGATGGAAAAAAATGAAGCGAACTTGGTGGGGTCATTTCATTTAAGTTAGAGGTTTCACCACCATAATCCAATTCCAATCCCGGGGCCATAATTTTATCCAAGTGACAGCAGGTTGCTCTCTGAGTCCCTGAATAGAAGGACGCTTTTCCTAATGGCAGTGTCTTCTCATGGCGCTTGTGGGCTTCTAAGCTGGCTCAGTTAGGCGAGAGGATGCATGACTCCAGGAGGCGATCCATCCCTTATAGTTCAACATTTATCGAATGCCTTGTTTGTACATGTCATTTGACAAGAGCTGTGAAAGGCACAAGAATGAACCTCTACCCTCGAAAAACTTAAAACCTACTGTGGGGAGTGGGGAGGAAGTAAGACAAAAAGTAGACGATGGACATGGGCTGAGCAGAGAGTCAGAAAAGGCTTAGGGGAGTGGGCACTGGAGACAGGCACCGAGGAATAAACACGAGCAGGAATATGAGAACAGGACCAAGAGTATGATTTCATGAGGAGCTTTGAACAAAACCTTTAAAATCCAGTCTCTTCGCAGACGTAGAGAATGGACTTGAGGACACGGGGAGGGGGAAGGGTAAGCTGGGATGAAGTGAGAGAGCGGCATGGACATATATACACTCCCAAATGAAAAATAGATAGCTAGTGGGAAGCAGCCGCATAGCACAGGGAGATCAGCTCCGTGCTTTGTGACCACCGAGAGGGGTGGGATAGGGAGGGTGGGAGGGAGACGCAAGAGGGAGGGGATATGGGGGTATACATATGCATATAGCTGATTCACTTTGTTATACAGCAGAAACTAACACACCATTGTAAAACAACTATACTCCAATAAAGATGTTTAAAAAAAACAAAGAGGGCTTCCCTGGTGGTGCAGTGGTTGAGGGTCCACCTGCCGATGCGGGGGTCCAGGAAGATACCACATGCCGCGGAGCGGCTGGGCCCGTGAGCCATGGCCGCCGAGCCTGCGTGTCCGGAGCCTGTGCTCCGCAACGGGAGAGACCACAGTGGTGAGAGGCCCTCGTACCGCAAAAAAAAAAAAAAAAAAAAAAAAATCCTATCTCTTAGGCAGAACTAAGAATATGTGTAGTCACTGGGGAAATAGGCAGACGCCATATTGCTGAGGACCTTAAAAGTTGGTTATTGAATTTGCAGTACTTGGTGGTCATTAACAGTCTTTGGAGTCAGGGTGACAAAATCAGATCTAGTGCTTCATTAGGAGCCAACTCCAGCCCTAGTGGGAAGAGGTGTGATCTGATGGGATGCTGAAAGGCCCTGTTTCTCCTCACACCTCAAACATCTCGTCCTCTCAGCCCAGTAGGGTTCTAATTTTGAGATTTTTATCCCATTTTAAATGTATTGTCTCTTAAAAAGCTGGATATAATAGTATATGAAGGGCCTTAACGGATCTGTCAGTGACAATCCCTGAGGGGCCCCAGGAATTACTCTAGGGGGTGGGAAGAGAGTAGGGCTGTGGATGAGGCACTGAAGGAGGGGCTGAGGACCCGCCCTCGCCTGCTATTTAGCTCAGGGCCTCTGTCGGTAACTGGCTGCCTTTTTCACTGGTGGAGGAATACAGGGAAGAGTTTGGGTTACAAGCTTGCACCAAGTCCGAACTTTCCACTGACCCCCTACATGACTGCAGTCAGCCACCAATTGAATTCTTCCATGTCATCTATAAAATGGGTAGAAAGATAGCACATCTTGACCTCCCAGAGATGATTCCCCAATAGACAACCCTGTGTCAATCAAATTATTAATTTTATCAATGCTTTGTTAGATGGGCAGTATCTTGTTTTTTTCAGATTATTTTTGGAGGATACCATGTAGCTGTTTTGTGTGTGTTTGTTTGTTTGATCCACAGGAAAATGTAGATACCCCAGCTCTAACTCATTTGATTAAAAAGTGAATACTTAAGAACCAGGCCAAGGGGCTGACCCTGAAGGCATTGCCACCTAGGCCTGTCTTGGGACTCACCTCCCAGGTTTCACAGCGGCCCCAGCAGGCATCCGTGGTGATCCGAAGGCCCTTGCAGCCGGGCTTCTTGGCCAGGAAAGTAAACTCTCTCACCGCACAGCCCACAAACGTGTGCAGGTTCCCGCCGGAGGTGCTGAGGACACAGCCGCAGCCAGCCAGGAGGAGGAGGGCCGCAGGGCCAAGGAAGAGGTATGCCAGCCTCATACTGTTCCCCGAGAGGGAGAGGAAAGAGAGTTTATTAACAGATCCAGCTGCCTCCATGGGACTGCCATCAATGTGCTGGTCGCTATCAAAGGGACATCGCTCTTAGCATTTCAGGAGAAATGAGCCAAGAAATTGTAAGTGCCCACAGACTCCAACACAAATGCCCAGCGTTTCCTCCAAGTGGCTCCAATATGGATTCCACGGACCCACTGAGCTCACTAGACATCCAACCCTCCAAGGGCATCCTCAGGCTTTTCCTTATAGCAGTCCACCTGCTGGACTTGACTTGTGGGTGAAAGAAGTTTGTCCCAATCGTCTCTTCAAAATGAACACAGAATATGAGTAACACCAAAAGTAATGCATATCCTAACATAATACAGGGATATACACAAATTCTTATTCAGATCAGGGTATTTGGAATTATGTTACATGCTTTGCTCACAATTATATTTCCAACATCATGGATGGGGAATGGAGGGCGGAGGTAAATAAACAATAATTGTATGCCCCATACGTATTGCTACTAACCCAACCCACCACAAAACTTGGATATGCAGATGTGAATCCTCACACCTGACTTGGTGGCCATTCATAAGAATGTGTCCTACTTGCTACAAATTCCCTCTGGACTAACCTCCACTCTAATAGGCACCTCGTAGTGAGTGAATTTAAAGCCAAATGATGGAAAGCATCATGGGTGTTTAAAACATAACCCCTGTCAACTACCAATCTACTGTCTATCCTCTCTGGGTCTTGGTCATTTCCTGTGCTTTTTCAGGAGCCAGAATCACTCCTTTCATGCTTGGCCCACCAGACGGAACATACCTGGATGTTGAAATGAGGGTGGACACTACACTTATAGAACACCCCCAGTTCATTATGACTTAAAACTGGCTGCAAAGTTATTTATTCCCAAACTGATCTCCCAGTTCCTACTTCTGATCTGTCACCTTAGCAAGGCTTCTGGACTCACCCTCAAGTAGAACGAAGTTACAAGTATGCAGAAGCACTTACCTGATTTTACTGGAGCTGCCTCTTCTTTAAAGCTGAAACCTGCACCCAAGGCTTTGTAAAGTCACGATGAGCGGTACAAGTCTGCTCTGGGTAAATGCCTCTACCCTCTGTTACTGGGCTGCTCGATTGCTCAAATATATAGGAAAGGTCTCGTCAATCAAAACAAAAGGGAGGCAGAGCCTTACAGGAACCGCTAAACACATCAAAGCCTTGGGATATAAAGCCATTCTCTATTTTCCAAAAGTGATTAACTTAAAGGGTGTTGTTTTGTTTCTCAACATCGCCTACTGAAACAGAAAGTTACCTTGGTGGGTGACATAATCCTAGGGAAACAGTCAAAGGTAGTTCACCTGGCTCTGGGAGACCAAGTGCACTGGGGCAAGATGGATTAGATTTTCCTTCGCGGTAACCACAACTTTCCTTCGAAACAGGAGGCAGTCACCAGCAGCTCAGGGCAAACTCTTTTTCCTTTCACTCACAACACATTTCAATAGATTGAAAGATAACAAAACAATAATTCTTCCTGGAGAGAACATGGGATCGCTAACTGAAAGGATGGAAATCACAGTGAGAAGAAACATTTGAATGTCTTAAAATGAGTTAAGGATTAGATCATATTAATAACACTTTAAAATGAATCACACAGGAAAAAAATATTAAGATGTTCAACGTGATTATCTTCCAGCATGGTACTTAAAAATGACTTTTTTTCTAAGTAGCTTTCAGCATTTGTCACATTTTCTACTTGGGGCAGGCTTTTGTAATAGAAAGTCAATGAATGTTGATACTTTAAAAATTAATAAACCAATAAGTATCCATTTGTGCTGCATGTAAGGATATTCAATGCTGTTGTAATGGAACTGTTTCATTTGATTTCAGGTTCTTGAAAGTCTAAACTAAGAATGAAATGGTATTCCTTATGAGTGTGAGATACAGTTTATATTCCAGTCTGCAACTGTAGCATGTAAATGGATGAAAAAACCTCATTGTTCATGGCATTATTCGGGGTGCTCTAAAAAATAAATGAAGCAAACATCATTCTTGCCTTTAGGAGTTTACATATCATAGCTAATAATGACATAGCCCAAGCCATTTAAGATGCACATTAAATAAATAAATGATACAAAATAAAGAAGTTAAAACATTTCTATTTTCTGCAAAGAAAGGTGTTCTTTAAATAAACATGCTACTCATTAAGGGTTTGATTTTTCTTTCAAAACATATAATAACCCTTAGTGAATCTATCACTATACCATCAATAGACCCATCTCTAGGGTCAGATTATTATATGTATTTTATAGAAATTGAACTAGGCTTGGAATAAAGGACTTTCTTCAGCCCTTCAGCCTGTGAGTAGCATAACCAGACCTGGGGTACTATAGGGACAGACTGCTTACCTGGTGTGAGAGTCCTAACTTGCTGGGCCAAGAGCTAGCCAATCAGCGGTGAGCTGCCATCCTGACCTGAGACTGTTCAACCCTTTTAGATGAGACCTGAAACTTTCATACCTGTGTCTGCAATGTCACAAGATAAAAAAAGACAACAAAGGGAGGCCAAGAGTACCATTCTTTCACAATCCCCAACTTCCTTCTAATGCGGAGCTGTGGCATCCTGACTATTCCCCATCAGCGTTAACTTCATGAGGATGACAACTTACAGTCACTGAGCACCTACTGTGTACCAGACTCCATGGTATCTGCTGTGCTCTGACATATGTTGTCTCTAAATCTTATAACAATTCTGTAAATCAAAGATTAATTAATCTCCTTTTTTCCATTGGGAGAAATGGAGACTCAGTTATTTTCTAAGCTACCTGCCTTCAAAGCCTTTGACAGCACTGAGGATGGCAAATAGGTTTGTTTCATCCCCGTAATCAACTGCAGTCAATTGAAGGTGCCGCCTGGATCACTGTGTTAAGAAAGGTCCTTGGGGCTTCCCTGGTGGCGCAGTGGTTGAGAGTCCGCCTGTCAATGCAGGGGACGCGGGTTCGTGCCCCAGTCCGGGAGGATCCCACATGCCGCGGAGCGGCTGGGCCCGTGAGCCATGGCTGCGCGTCCGGAGCCTGTGCTCCGCAACGGGAAAGGCCACAGCAGTGAGAGGCCCGTGTACCGCAAAAAAAAAAAAAAAAAAGAAAGGCCCTTGAATCCATTCCCAGTGCAGAAGGCTGTGACCCACCAACATCATCATGAGTGTAGGAAAGGGGAATGGTATACGGATGCCACCTTTTTGCAATCCGTGCACTGTGCCATGCCACCTGCCTCTCTAGAGGCAGTGAGAGGTTGCTGTGTGATTTCTAAGGCTACTTAAGGCCCTGATACCTGCAGAATATCTCAGGATCTCTACCTGCCACCTTCCCTTCCATTTAGCCTGTATCTGCCACCTTCCCTTCCATTCCTGTTGATGTTCCCACCACTAAAGTCCCTCTCTTGTTGTAGCAAAGATGTGCGCAATGTCTCCAAGCACAGGCCCTAAGGAATCTTCTCTCATCTTGTTCCATTATCCTCACATGGATTCATTGTTACCTTGGAGGATGAGTCACAAGATACAAGTTCACTAGGGGTAAGGAGAGGGGAGAAGGGGCGTAGGAGAGCAATCATCTTGAGGTCTAGGGGAGCGTGAAAACAGAGGAATGAGCTGAGTGTCAGTGCCTTGAAAGGTTGTGGCCTGGTCCAGGGTGGGCAGCCCCAGACAGGGAGGACTAGGGAGTGTACAATCTGTGCAGGAGATGGAGACATTGCAAGAGCCTGGTAGCTCCCTTCCCTGGCCTAGCCATACTGATTCTCAGTGGCACAACTTCTTTTGTGACTGCCTTGGGCAAGTTACTTCTCTCAGCCTCGGTTTCCTCTTCTGCAACATGATGGGGTTGGACCCTATGACTCATAAGGTCCTTCCTAGCACCAGAATTTAAAGGTTTGCAAAACTATTTATGAAGATAACAAGCTGAGGGCAAGTCAGATGGAGAATCCAAAGGTTCAGATTATCTAAAAGTCATCTAGATTTGTGTTTGTCTGACTCTGACACCTGCCAGCTTGTGATCTTGGAGTCTCATAACACACTGAGTTTGTTTTCTACAAAACTGAAAATGCCTCCTTCATAGGGTTCATGTGAGCCTCCTACACAATAATGTCTAAAAATTTCTTACCTCAGTGCTTGAGATCTGATAAGCAGGCAATAAATGTTTTACTTTTTTCCCCATCATCATTGTGTGTACCTCTAAGAAAGAAAAATCTGCCAATAAAAAATTATGTCCATTAATTATTAGGCATATCCTGATTTCAAAGGTATTAAATGTGAAAAAAAATAGGAGTCTGAAAATACAGGAAGCAAAGTCTTTGGAGGCTAGGAGACCTTCTCAGCATTCTGAAACCAGGAGACATGGGTAGGTACCAACCATGCTTCCCCACAGCCTGTGATGTTTTGAGCTGACACTAAAATTGACACATTTTTAAGTAGGAAAAAAGGTCTGACATATTAGATAGAATTTTTAAGGTCCAAATCTCACACTTCGTGGATGCAAACTTTAACACAGTACCAACTTTTAATATATTAATAAATCGTCATGAATACTCCCAAACAATTTCAGTTCTGCCCAAGGATGGAGTCGAACTAACTGAGCCAACCTCTGTCCCACAGGTACTAAGTGAGGGCCCACAAGAACTCTGCTGTCTGCTGCATCACTTACAATGATCTCTTAAGAGTTGAGAAAAGACATGCGTGCTCTGATACATTTCTCCACGTTGTCCTCTCAGAATTCACAATGCTCTGTCCAAGGACCAAATTAATTAGCATGATGCCTCCTGTAGATGAACGAAAAAGCCACAAATGAAGCTATGTGTTTCAAGGAAGTAATAGAATTAATGATTTTCTGCAAACAGATACAAGAAAGGTCAGCCTTGGATTTTACAAAGTTGAATTTTGCTTTTAATATGCCTTATTCAGTTGGGAAAAAAACTCTGGGATTACAAAGGAAGATGAATGGTGAAGTCCTGGAAGAAATTAATTTTATTGAAAAGTCATTTCTTCCTTTGGAAGCACTGGGCATTTGTGGGACAGCTCTTCATTTTATTGATTTAAAGGGGTAACATTTGCCCTAGATGATGGTGCAGTTGCTATGGTAACGTTTTTTTCTAATGAGACTAAAAATAATGAAGCCTGTGTATGATTTACTAAGGCAAGTCAAGCCTTTCTCCACAACTTTCTGAAAGAAGTATCTGTCAGTTGTCACAGATTTATTTCAGATTAAGGGGAACATGGTTTAGGAGCTGAAGTGGAATGTTTTTATTTCCGCCTGACTCTTCCACTTTTGAATGTCGTAGATTTGCAGGGCATGGCAGACACATGCCCAATAGAGAGGAACAGAGAGGAGCTTAATGAGTCACAAAGAATCATTCTTTATTTCAAGTGCATCCTGTATTCTCATTGGAATGAGTCCACAAAGCTGCTGGGTCCCCAAATCCTTCATTTGTAATTCCCTAGGCGGTCGCACAGACAAGGCCAAGGTTGTTGTTAGCTAAGCTTTGAAGCAACAGCACCTCATTTGTTAGTTATTGGCTTTGTCCCAGAAAAAGGTTCCTAGGATCACAGCCCCAGAATGTGTGCATGTGCCTGTGTGCACCAATGCTTATGCTTGAGAGATGGAGCAGGGTGATGGGAGAGTGGAGATAGAGAAGAGGAGAGCTGTTCTACTCTCCAGCGTTCTCATTATATAACTTAACACATATTTATTAAGCTACTACCATGTGCCAGGCACTGTCGAGCACTGAAGTCACTGGGTTCATTAAAAATAAATAAATAAAAAGATGATGTTGAGAGGCATGAAGGTGAAATAGCTAATAACTAAGAGTAATGATAGATTTCCTTCCTCCTTCCCTTTCTTTATCTCCTCTTCCTTCCTTCTTTCTGTCCCTCCATATTTTATTGAATGTTACCGTGTGTCAGACACATGCTAAGTACATGTGATGCAAATATGAACAGAGCTAAGAACCTGCCCCCAAAGAGTCAACAGTCTAGCAAGGGTGATAAATAAACCCGCATACATATGGCCCAGATACTGTACTCCTGGGCATTTATCCCAGAGATGTGGAAATTTATGTTCCCATAAAAACCTGTACACACTTTCATGGCAGCTTTATTCATAATAGTCCCAAACTGGAAACAACTCAGGTGTCCTTCAACAGGTGAATGGCTAAACAAACTGTGGTCCATCCATATCATGGAATCCTACACAGCAATAATAGGGAATGAACACACAACAACTCATGAATCTCTGGAGAATCATGGGGAGTGAAAAAGCCAGTCTTAAAAAGTTATATACTGTATGATTCCATTTATATAACATTCTTGAAATGACAAGATTCTAGAGATGGAGAACAGACTGGTGGTTGCCAGTGGTCAAGGAGACCCAGAGATAGGAAGGAAGTGGGTGTGGTTACAAGGGGCAAATGTAGGATTTTTGTGATGATAGAAATGTTCTGCTCTTGACCATGGTGGTAAATAAATGAACAAAACATGTAATAAAACTGCATAGAATTAAATATACACACATACACAGATATAAGTAAACTGAGTAAATGTAAACAAGATGGGTGATTATATCAATGTCAATACCCTGATAATATAATATTGTACTACAGTTTTAAGTACAAAAAACACTGAGGGAAACTGGATGAATGGGACACAGGATGTCTCTGTATGAATAAATGAGTCCTGTGGATGTAATGTTCATAATGATGACTATAGTTAGCAACACTGTATTGTATATTTGAAAGTGGAAAAGAGAGTAGATCTTCAAAGTTCTCATCACAAGAAAAAAAATTTTGTAACTATGTGTAGTGAGGGATGTTAACTAAACTTAATGTAGTAATCATTTTATATATCAGGTCATCATGTATCACTAAAACTAATACAATGTTAATGTCAAATATATCTCAATTTTTTAATGAAAAAAGTATTCTTCATAAAAAAAGTTAATTTTAAGTATTACTGTTAAGAAATAAAAAGAATTAGAAGCTTAAAAAAATAAATCAATATAACATTAAGTGGGATAAATGCAGTGGTAAAAATGGAGATAGGGTGCTAGGAGACCTTAGATTATTTCCTATCGAGGTGACTCTAGCAAGTTGGGAGAGAATTCATCTCAGGCAGAGGAAACCACACAACTCCACCATTAGAGTTAAGAGCAGACTCTTTTGACATGATACTATATATAGAAAACCCTAAAGACTCCACACAAAAACTACTAGAACTGATCAAACAAATTCAGCAAGGTAACAGAATACAAGATTAACATACAGAAATCAGTTGCATTTCTTTACACTAACAATGAAATATCAGAAAGGGAATGTAAAAAAACAAATTGCATCAAAAAAGTAAAATACTTAGGAATAAACCTGACCAAGGAGGTAAAAGACTTTTATGCTGAGAACTATAAAACATTTATAAAGGAAATTTAAGATGATTCAAAGAAATGGAAAGATATCCCATGCTCTTGGATTGGAAGACTTAATATTGCTAAAAATGGCCATACTACCCAAAGCAATCTACAGATTTAATGCAATCCCTATCAAATTACCCATGACATTTTTCACAGAACTAGAACAAGTAAGTCTAAAATTTATATGGAACCATAAAAGACACAGAATTGCCAAAGCAATCCTGAGGAAAAGGAACAAAGCAGGAGGCATAACCCTCCCAGGCTTCAGACTATACTACAAAGCTACAGTAATCAAAACAGCATGATA